AACCCCACCCCTCACCCTCCAGCTACACCTTCAGCAGCAGCTTTGTGTAACAGCTGCGCGAGACAGCATGATGCCTCCCAGTGCCCAGCTGCTCAAAGCGTGTGCAGAAGTTGCGACCGCCAGGGTCACTGAGCTTACACAGTCAAGTGCCCTGCTAGCAAAGTTCAGTGCAGACTTTGTGGTCGTGTGGGCCAGTATGACAAATGTTTTCGTTAGAAGACACAGAGAGGACACCACCAAGGATCCAAGAAGTCATCCTCAGGTAGTGCTGGCACGCCCCCTCCTTCTGGCAAGCATCAAGACGCTGTGCCCAGTCGTTCCTGCCGTCGTGTACATTGCTCCACAGACACGACACCCCAGCACATCAGTGTCGTCATTTCTTACGTTAACTTGTCATCCAGTCTTCAGATGTTACCTGACACCGGTGCTGACGTCTCAGTAATTGGTCCACAACACTTAGCACGTTTGGGAATACCCCGGAACAACCTACAGCCCCCTCCTCAGACAACGAAACTGACAGCTGATGGTTCCAAGATGGCTCCAGCTTTGGGATCTTTCTGGGCTACTCTTACTTTTGGTAAGCAGTCTTGCCCAGCCCGGATTGATGTTCCTGATGGGATCCCGACTCCGCTTTTATCAAATGGCCATTGTCAAGAGTTGGCCATTATTTCCAAGGAATTCCCCAGACCTATTTTAAAGGTCACCCATGTCAACAGCTTGAAGGAATTCCCTATTTCTACTAACACGTCCCCTTCTGAAGCAAGAGCTTACCTTCTCAAGGAGTTTGCTGACGTGTTTGTTACGAAGAAATCTTTGGGATCCATACCACTAAAGCCGATGGTGGGTCCACCTATGAAAATTCATCTTAAGGATGGTGCCATACCTTTTGCCATCCACACCCCTAGTTTGATTCCTCACGCCTACAAGGAGCTAGGTAGACAAGAGCTTGACTCCATGGTTGCTCAGGGAAAGATCAAACCGGCCGGAGACGAACCTTCACCTTGGTGCCACCCTCTCGTCCCCGTCGCCAAACCTCGTGGTGGAGTACGGATCACCACCGATCTATCAAAACTTAACCAGCAAGTTTCCCGTCCAGCCCACCCTTCTCCCACACCCTTCGCAGCTGTTCGAAATGTGGACCCGAAGGCGAAGTTTTTTACAACGATGGACGCCTTATGTGGTTATTGGCAGATCGAGTTGGCCGAAGAAGACCAGCATTTGACTACATTCATCACACCATATGGAAGATCTCAGTATTGCAGAGGCCCCATGGGATTTGCAGCTACGGGCGATGCATTCTGTCAACGTGGTGACGCGGCCCTTCAAGGAGTCACGAATTGTGACAAGGTGGTTGATGATATTTTACTCCATGACGAAGACTACTGTGGCCACCTCTCCCGAATATATGAAGTTCTCACCAGATGTCGAAAGTACGGGATTACCCTCAATGCTGACAAGTTTGTAGTCGCCGCACCATCAGTGAACTTCTGTGGGTAAATTCTCTCAGCATCAGGTATCGCAGCTGACCCGGAGAAATTAAGTGGAATCAGGGATTTTCCAACCCCTGCCAACCTGACAGACCTCCGTTCTTTTTTGGGTCTGGTCAATCAGCTGGCTGAATTTTCACCTGACATCTCCACCGCAGCCCAGCCGTTACGCCCCCTCCTGAGCCCCAGGAGGACATTCCTGTGGACCCCAGATCATCAAGAGGCCTTCCAGCGAGTCAAGCAGGCCCTCTTAAGTCCATCTGTCCTCGCCTGTTACGACCCAGCCCTACCCATCGTCCTCCAGACTGACGCCTCCAGACTCTACGACGTTGGTTACGCCCTTCTGCAGGACCATGGCGGTGGACAACTCCGCTTAGTTCAGAGTGGATCCCGGTTCCTGACGGACGCCGAGACCCGATATGCCGCGATTGAGCTGGAGATGTTGGCTGTTGTCTGGGCGATGGCGAAGTGCCGCTTCTACCTGATAGGACTTGAGCACTTCACCCTCTTCACGGATCATCGCCCTCTTGTGCCTATTATTATCAATCACTACTCTTTGGATGCAGTAGAGAACCCTCGCCTTCAATGTTTGAAAGAGAAGCTCTCGCCTTATCTCTTCACGGCTGTGTGGCGTGCGGGTAAGCTGCTGTGCATCCTAGATGCCCTGTCCCGCCGCCCCTGTCAGTCGCCCCACCCCAGAGGACGAGATGTTGTGTTCTACAGCTGCCGCATCCCTCAAGTCAGTTTTCTCATTGAAGGCCGTCTTCACATCAGAAGAGTCTACAGCACCGGATGCAGACAAGACCCTTGAAGATCTCTGCACCGCACCCCGAGCCGACCCTTCTTGCATCCGGCTCGTCGACTGTGTGTCCCAGGAATTTCCATCAAACCGATACGACCTTCATGAATCGCTACTCCCGTACTGGAAGATACGTGAGGACCTCTATTGTGACGGAGACCTCCTCTTGTATGGTCCACGAGTAGTCATTCCTTCTGCCCTACGCAACCGTACCTTGACCCGCCTTCACGACAGCCATCGAGGAGTGGAGGCCACCAAGCGACGGGCGAAGCAGGCTGTATTTTGGCCCGGAATCGACGCGGACATTGCAAGTACCGTCCGTGCCTGTGAGCCGTGCCAGATTCTGCAACCCAGCCAGTAACAGGAACCTTTAACGTGCGACGATAAAACATTCAAGACCCTTCGAGTCTGTGTCGGCCGACTTCTTTGCTGTGGCAAGGAAGTCCTTCCTCGTCATTGCCGACCGATTGTCTGGATGGCCTGTTGTCGTCCCCTGTGGTAGTGATACAACGGCTACTGCTACCATCCGGAATTTCAGACATTACTTCAGAGAAGTTGGTGTTCCCCTCCGCCTCAGGACTGATGGAGAACCCCAGTTCACCAGCCACGAGTTCCGGGACTTCATGGACCGTTGGGAAGTGCGCCATGTCGTGACCTCGCCCCACTACCCCCGGGCGAATGGACACGCTGAAGCCGCAGTCAAGACTGTTAAACACCTGATCCTTAAGGTGTCACCCTCAGGAAATATCGACTGCGAGGACTTCGATCGAGGTTTGTTAGAGTTACGCAACACCCCGAACTTCACCGGACGCTCCCCAGCCCAGGTTCTATATGGACATCATCTCAGGTCTTGTGTTCCTGCCCACCCGAAGTCTTTTTCTCAAGAATGGTTAGCCAAAACTGAAGAATGTGACCGCCGTGCTGCAGAACGAGCCGCAGAGGTCGCTGCTTGGTACGACTGTCATGCCCGCCCCCTTCCCAGGTTGAGTATTGGCCAGCAGGTCAGGATTCAAGATCTGGTATCTCTCCGCTGGGACAAGGTTGGGGTTGTCATGGGTATTGGCCGGGCCAGGGACTACCAAGTGCGTCTTCCCAGTGGTAGAGTATGGTGGAGGAACCGTCGTTTCCTCTGACCTGTGGAGCTGCCTAGTGTTGACCCTTCCCCAGTAGAATCCCCTAATGCTGAAGTCTTTACAGTAAATCCATCCCCACCTTGTGTTTCTGCCCCGGTACTCCGCAGGTCCGAGCGACTCAGAAACAAAAGGTCCGCTCACGATGAAACTATGAGCGTATAGGGGGGAGGGAGGTGTATAATATGGACACGAAGTAGTACCTTAAGCTGTGTATTCTTATATTACTCTATTAATTATGTATAGTAAAGTATTACAGAACATGTATTAATCCTATGTAATATTTCCATTTATTATGCACCATGTTATGTATGTGAATTATCATATTTACATATTATGTATTCAGCTTGTGAATGCTGGCATCTGTACATGCCAGCGCGGAGTGATAAAGAGAGATGAGATCGCTAGTCCTTATGGTGTGGAAGCCCACGTCTATTCGTTTCCTCTGTATATCTCCCGTACGAGAATAAGAACCTATTTTCAAGATAACAAGTGTTTGTGTATACACTCAGTAGTGTAGAACATTTTGGGGGTATCAAAGACAAACATAGGTAAAGTATAGTTATAATTATTCCCATATGACCATAGTATTGTAAACAGAGTGCCTTGGTATATATATATATATATATATATATATATATATATATATATATATATATATATATATATATATATATATATATATATATATATATATATATATATATATATATATATATATATATATATATATATTATGTAGTATATATATATATATATATATTGATAAAATCACACGAAAAGGGAAACAACGGATACCTTAGCTTTTTCCCTATTCAAGACATCTTCAGAGGCACCTGATTCATGGACAGGTTAGGCAGCAATATATATATGATAATAACATATATACATATCATATGATATATCCAATATATTATATATATATATATATAGAGGATATAATAGTACGTATGACAAGTAAATCAGGTCAGGTCTGCATGATCCATGTATTATTGTAAGACAACAAAGAATCAAAACGAGAAATTCGATAACATCTTGATGTTTCTGAACGGGGATAAACAGAGCAAGAAAATTAAAACGCCGAAATAATAATAATAAACCTTTTGCTCTATACAGAAATACAGAAAAAAAAGAAAAGAGTTATTATCATAATAATTAATTTAATTATAAGATGCCCTAGTTCATGCAATCATTGAATGTTCCTAGGTTTGTTTGCATTCTGAAATAGATTCGCCGTACAGGCGTCACGCTCTCAGGCAGAATGAGAGTTGCTTGAGTTAATTAGGGGTTGTGCCTCTGTCACTTTACAGGCTCAACTTTCCTTGGGTTTTGAGTCTTATATATAGGAGTCTTTAGGGTGGATAAGGGTTGTAGGGTAAATTAAGGGAGCTTGTCCTTTCTAAAAAAAAAAAAAAAAGGGTTATTTGGCTAAAGAGTGCAAAACGTTTGAGGAGACTGAAAAAAGGTTTGATAATTACGATAAGAGGTAGATTAATACTCTAAAGGCTCAAATAACTAGAAAGCGGACGATAGCACCAAGAACGAAATATTTTCAGCAGCTATCGTTACTTATTAATGCGTTACGACTGTTTGTTCGACTGTCCATTGTTCTGCTGAAGAACGCTGTCAGCTTTTGGGGCCGAGGTGAGTGGTGTTGGGGTGTGGGAGGTGTGTGGGGGTGAGGGAGGTGTGTAGGGTGAGGGAGGTGTGTGGAGGTGAGGGAGGTGTGTAGGGTGAGGGAGGTGTTTCAGGGTGTTACTAGGGGGATCAGGGGGTGGATCTTAGTTCAGCATCTTCACCCCGGAATGACTTCCATAGCTTCAAGTAAAGCTTCTCACAGGTTGGGTTGATAGTGCCGCTCACCAGCTCCTTGGGGTGACTTGGTCCTGAAAATGCTCCAAGTTATCATTTTATTTATAAATTGTGTCCATGAAATATATCGTATTTGCAGAAATAGAATACTGTAGTAGTAAAAGTAGTAGGTGTACTAGTAACAGTGGTGGTAGTAGTAGTAGTAGTAGATATTACTGAAGTCAGAGAAGTGAGGTCAAAATAGCGAACTCGGCCAAAGACATCTAGGTGCGGTAATCGGCACGAGCGATATCAAGACCGAGTACGTAACGGGAAAAGTATGTGAGTGGGTGAAGGAAATCCAAGCTCTGTTTGATAGTGCTAAAACAGATCCACAGGCGTCGTTTTCGGCTTTCACTCATGGATTCATCCTCCTCCTAGTCACAGGCCTGGCACTTGACATTATTAGGGACCTGCCACGCTTTGCTATAAACAGATGAAATGTACCGGGAACTTTACCCCCACACACTCATCATTCTCTCACTTTATGTAACTTGACAAAACCCATGACCCTTCAGGCTTTTACGCCCTTAATGTACGAGTCATAAAGGCAAGTATGAACTTTGCATACTTCCCAGATGGGCGCTGTAAGCGCTTCTGCGCTTCACCTTGCACAGGATGTAAGGGGGTGCCTAATAAACTAGCCCCCTCGGGGGCAAATCTGAAATCTGAATCTCATGGCTTCAAACATCGCTGGAATTTTCTGATGCTCACTATCCCTGATATTGGATCCCTCCTCCACCCTCTGGAAAAGGCCATCAGCGTCATTTTTATTCCAACATCAGTGAAAAACTTTCACTTAACCGCAGCAGAAAGGTCACTCCTTGCACTACCACCGAGACTGGGAGGAATAGGATTGTCCAATCCAGAGGCGCTTGCTGCCACCGAACATCAGAACTAAATCAAACTTACGGCAGCCCTCAATGAGCACATAATAGCTCAGAATGCAACAAGTGAGGTGGATACCAATGAATTAAACAGGGATTCGACGGTCGGATGCGACAGAACGATAGCACACCCAAAGTTATAAACTGTAAAACTTGATGCTGCAATTGCCAGAGAACTTGAAAAGAAAAGTAACAATATCGCAGGAGGTGGGCGCCTCGAATAGCCTAACAACGTTATCAATTAGGGCAAACGGTTTCAGCCTTAATAAAAAAGATTTTATAAATGCCATTGCTCTAAAGTATGGTTGGCCAGTAGAAGGGCTGCCCTCCCAATGCGTGCGTGGCTCACCCTACGACATTGACTACGCCATGGAGTGCAAGAAGGGGGACTTCGTGTGCATGAGGCATGACGAAGTTAGGGATCTCACAGCAAATATACAGAACTAAATCTGCCAGGACATCACCTGTGGAATCGACCTTCCTTCCATTGGACGGTGAGACCCTCCATCATAGGACTTCCGACACTCTAATTGAAGCCCGTGAGGATTCCAACGCCCGAGAATTCTGGACGTGGGGACGGCAAGCCTTGTTTGACGTCAGAATTTTCGACCCCATGGCCGTAAGTCACCGTATCTTGTCTCGTGAGGCTGCACACAAGAGGAACGAGAACTACAAGATTTGGGCGTAAGCAAAGAGAATTCAGAATGTGGATCAAGACAGCATCATTCTCTGGTGTTCATAACCTCTGGTGGGATGAGACCACGAGCAAGACGCTTTTAAACAAGACTGGCCGAGGTGCTATCTGAACAGTAGCAGCACCCCAGAAGCCACGTTGCAGCCTGGTTGAGATGTCGACTGTCCTTTCTGTGAATAGGTCTGCATTGCTTTGCCATCAAGAGTAAGTGAACGCTGCATAGACCTGCAGCTTAACTAACTTAACACAGCTAGGGTAGCTACTTTTATATTAGATTATTAATATTAAGGTAATAAAATGGTGGGGAGGTGTGGCTATTAGAGGAGGCTGGAGGCCACGCCAAAAAAAATAAAAGTAGTAGTAGCAGTAGGTGTACTACGTTTTCAGGGACAGTCTCCACTCGTAACATTACGCGGCGAGGAGTTTACGCCTCAGAATTTGTTCAACACATTCGTGTTTTTTCCAAAATATTTCTGTTACCACACCGTTTCGTATTCTTAGTTTTGCTTCCCCAAGTGCGGAAATTATCAGACATCAACAAAAAAGAGTTATTATCCCTTAAATACCATAATATATATGTACGATAGATTGAATACCAAAGAGCTGTAGCGACTTTTCCAGTCTCCCTTTGCCAGCCAATGAGCTTCCTAACTACAAAGTGACTACAGGCCTCATTTGTAATGGTCCAGTGAACATACTATAGTAACAGCAGTAGTAGTAGTTGTAGTAGTAGCAGTAGTAACAACAAGATTGGCTCTCACCTGTACACAGGGACGCGAGGCTGCTTATCACCATGGTCAGTATAATACAGATGGTGCCGGAGTAGCAGTAGGAGACGTCGTAGGGTGTCTTGGCCGTGGACCTGACGTAGCGTATAAACATCTTAATATCTGTCTCATACAGTAATCAACGCTAACAATATGTAACTTGACTCAGAACCATCAGTAAGATTCCGGTTTAAAGTACAGTTATAGTTATTTCCACGTAGTGACAATTTATTTTTATATACTTGTGGTGAACTATTGGAGGTAAACATGACACAGTGTCCTCTGAATGGTAACATAGGTGAGGTGATTAGTGACCTTTGTTCATACTCATACTGTCTGTTACACCGGAAATCACAAAGACGGGGATCCTTAACTTAGCTGTGTAATAATTGTATAGATATGTACATACCAAGATGTGTGAACGCGCCTGACACCAGGACTCTTGTTACCATTCGTTGTACCATTTATTCGCATGTCTGTATTACTACATATTATTATAGCATGTCTGATGTCCATGCTTATGTCTAATGCCTATGTTCATTTACTATGTCCCGATGTACTATGTCTGTACCGCGCTAGTCGAGTAATTAGAAGACCTCATTTATTGTCCTAGGAATGTCTAGCAACTCTCTTTGCCTGGCTAGCTAATTTCCCTCAGATCGGCCTCGGCCTACCTACGGTCCGGGGTCCCTAGTAATCGCTCCTGTATCGGTTGGCTATCACGCCCAGCCTTGTACACTTATTGAATATATCTACTGCTCGTGCCCTGGAGTTTCAAGAACCTTGTCTAGGATTACATCCACCACACCACATGGCGCAGTTTGAGTAGCTCCAACACGACAGTTTACAAGCCTCAAGAGCCGGCCCCGTCTGTTTCCGGCCTCGTCTGTTTCCCGCCCAGAAGATATACTCCACAGTGCCCCTGGATTTAAAGTGCTTTGTGACCTTGTGAAGTGCCCTAAGTGAAGTGCAGTGCCTTTCATGTCTCTTTGCTATGTTTCTGCGGCCCTACAGGTAGCAGACACGCCTCCAGCCCAGTTTCCAAGACAGCACTTCCGGCATACACCCCCATCCACGGAGGCTCGCAAGCCACTGCCCGCGTCCCCTTACCACTGAGTCATCACCAGCATCTCGCCCGGGCGCGCGGAGGAATACACCGCCGCCAGCCGCCTCCTCTCACTTCACAAATATTACAGTCAGTACTCTTTTACTTGCCAGCCAGTTCCTGCACTTAAGCAAATCCATTGGCGAAAATATAGCACTTCACCTTATTCTCCTTGTCTTTCCCATCGCGACAATACCAAGCACGAGATGTCTGACCACGACGATTTGCTGGGAAATTTATATGAGGATTATGAGGAAGACGACGCCTCACAGACCCTCCCACCCCCCCTCACGCCTCACACGCCGGGCGCGCCAAATTCAAAGGATGGGAGCCAGGATATACGTCAGTTAATCCACTTCCTACAAGTTTCTCAAGAGAAGGAAGCCCAAAGACGTCAATTAGAGGAGGAAAAACGACGTCAAGAGGAATTGTCAAGACAGTCAGAGGAATCAGCTTACCGCCTTCAACTTCAACAACAACACCAAGCTGATAACCGCAAATTCCTGGACCTATTGGAATTGCTGGCAACGAGGACGACTTCACCAGCTGCCACAACCAACTCGCCAGCTTCAGCCTCTTCATCTATCCTTCAGACAACGCCTCCTCACACGTCACCTATCTCCCCTAGGTATGCCTCAGTGTCTTCTCAACCACCCGTTCCAGTCTCAACTCTCGTCGACCTCTCCGTGCCTCCTCCACCGCCTGCCGTCTCGAGTACACCCCTGCACAGCAAGTCTTCAGTTCCCAGTCCCCCACCTCTTCAATCTGATGCAACATATCAAGTATACCGTCAATGGCGACGTCGTTTCGAAGACTTTGCTGTTATGTCTGACCTCTACCGAATGCCCCCTCATAAACAACTCATCCAATTAAGATCGTGCATTTCCCTCGATGTTCAACGCCTCCTAGAGCACACGCTAGCCATCCCCCCTGACTCCCCCAGGTCAGTGACAGAGGTTTTAAACGCCTTGCAGAGTCATTTCCGTGGCCTCCGCAATGAAGCTTTGCGTCGTAGGGAACTGCTATCCTGCAAACAAGCTTCTGGGGAATCATTCTCAGACTTCTATGCACGACTTAAGGACCTAGCAACCGAGGTGGACCTATGTACAGGCGATCCTGTAACCTGTGCTGAGATCCAGCTCAAGATGATCTTGCTGATGGGTGTACGTGACGAGGACCTGCTTCAGAAACTCCTCACCCTCGACGCCGCCTCTTCCCTCACCGACTTCGTCACCTGTTGCAGGTCGTATGAGGCCACAAGAGAGGCTGCCTCAGCTATACACTCATCGCCATCTCAAGTCCACGCCGTCTCCACCTACAAGAGGAATCAACGCCAGATGCAGACGACGTCCTCTCCACAGCCCCCGTCACAGTCACCAGTTTCTTCTCCCGAATCCTGCAGAAACTGTCAGCACCAGCATGGTCCAGGAAAGTGCCCTGCGGCTGATAGTACATGTCGAAACTGTGGGTTTCAAGGCCATTGGCCCCGCACACCTCGATGTCCTGCCAACAAGGCCTCATGCAACGCTTGCAACAAGCAAGGACACTTCGCCAAGTGTTGCAGGTCCACCAAGAAGCCTCCATCTCCAGGTCAAAACGTCTCTTCACAGCCCGACAGAACGTCCACACCACCGTCTCCCAAGAATAACAAAGGATGCCGACGCGTGGATGATACCTCGAGTGACAGGTCCCCCAAGCCCGTCAATGTTCGTCTGTCCTACGGTACCAACTCTTCCAACCTCCTGATGATACCTGACACGGGCGCGGACATCACGGTGATTGGACCAACACACCTGGACGCCCTCAACATCCCCAGGAGTAGCCTGTCACCCACAGCCATGAACGACGTGCTCACAGCGGACGGGTCCCCGATGTCTCCACCTTTGGGTTGCTTCAAGGCAACACTACAGCTCGGTCCCAAGTCTTGCCTTGCCACAGTCCACGTCCATGAGGGCATCCAAACCCCTCTCTTGTCATGTGGCCATTGTCAGGACTTGGCCATCGTCTCATCCGAGTTCCCAAAGCCCATCCTCGCTGTGACACACCTCAACAGGTGTGCAGAGATACCTGTTTCAGCCATGACCACACCTGCTGCCGCCCGGGAGTTCTTTTTTCGTCAGTTCAGCGACGTCCTTGTCTCCAAGCCCGACCTCCAGAAGACGCCGCTCAAGAAGATGACAGGCCCCCCGATGAGAATCCACCTCAAGCCTGGCGCGACGCCTTTCGCCATCCACACACCCAGGCCTATCCCCTTTGCCATACGGGACAAGGTGAAGGCGGAGCTCGATTCTCTGGTGCAGCAGGGGATCATCAGACACGCCGGTGAGGAGCCCTCCGAGTGGTGCCACCCTATGGTCTTGGCACCCAAGCCTGTAGGTGTTCGCATCACAGTGGACCTCACCCATCTCAACTCGCAGGTCTCCCGTCCCGCCCATCCATCGCCTACGCCCATCCAAGCAGTCCGCAGCGTCACCCCGTCTGCAAAGTTCTTTACCACGGCGGATGCACTACATGGGTACTGGCAAGTCGACCTGGCGGAAGAAGATCGCCACCTCACTACATTCATCACGCCCTACGGCCGCTTCCAACACTGCCGCGGACCCATGGGCTTCGCAGCAACGGGGGATGCGTACTGCCTCCGTGGGGATATGGCTCTGCAGGGTGTCACCAACTGCGTGAAGGTCGTAGATGACATCCTGCTCTTCGACGATGATCTCCCGGCCCACTTGAACCGAGTTCATCTGATGCTCACAAGATGTCGTGCCCATGGTATCACCCTGAACAAAGATAAATTTGTGGTCGCCGCCCCCCAAGTTAACTACTGCGGCTACAACATCTCGCCAGAGGGGATCTCAGCTGATGAGGAGAAGGTCAAGGCCATCAGGGACTTCCCTACTCCAGCGAACCTGATCGACCTTCGCTCATTTATGGGCCTGGTAAATCAGCTGGCCGACTTCTCCCCTAAAATCGCCACATCAGCCCAACCTCTACGCCCCCTCATGAGCCCCAAGCGCTCTTTCCTCTGGACTCCTGACCACGACCTAGCGTTCAGGAATGTTAAGAAGGCGTTGCTGTCACCACCAGTCCTGGCACCCTTCGACCCGTCCTTACCAGTGGTCCTCCAGACCGACGCCTCCCGTCTATACGGCCTCGGATATGCCCTCCTTCAAGACCACGGCCAGGGTAGACTGTGCTTAGTTCAGTGTGGCTCCAGGTTTTTGACGGACGCGGAGACCAGATACGCCACCATTGAACTAGAGATGCTGGCAGTCGCCTGGGCTATGGCCAAGTGCCGCCTTTACCTGTTCGGCCTTGGGCATTTCACCCTCATGACGGACCATCGCCCGCTCATACCCATTCTTAATCACTACACGTTGGACGCCATCGAAAATCCTCGCCTCCAACGTCTCAAAGAGAAGACCGCCCCTTACGTCTTTACAGCTGTGTGGCGCGCCGGGAAGCTTCTGTGCATACCAGACGCCCTCTCCCGAGCCCCTGTTAGTCGCCCCACACCCGAAGATGAAGTCGACTGTACCATGGCCGCCGCTCACGTTCGGTCTTTAGTGACACACACAGCCACTTCTCTTGCTGACAAGACGACGACGACGCCCTCCATCGAAGACGATAGGACTCTCCAGGAGCTTCGCATCGCCGCCGCTCAAGACCCGGCATACGTCCAACTCCTCGACTACGTCTCCGCTGGATTCCCCACCAACCGCTACGACATTCACGCCTCCGCCCTCCCCTTCTGGAAGCTAAGGGATAGCCTCTATGCGGACGGAGAGCTGGTGTTGTACGGCCCCAGGATCGTCGTTCCCGCTGCCCTCCGCCGGCGCACCTTATCCCGCCTCCATGACAGCCACCGCGGCGTTGAAGCCACCAGGCGCAGAGCCCGTCAGACCGTCTTCTGGCCTGGTATTGACGCCGATATTAAGAGCACGGTTGAGGCCTGTGAGCCTTGCCAGCAACTCCAACCCAGCCAGCAACAAGAGCCGTACCTGTGCAATGACCTCCCAAAGCGGCCCTTTGAGTCCGTGTCCGCCGACTTCTTTAATGTGGCCGGAAAGTCTTTCCTGGTGGTCGCCGACAGGCTCTCTGGATGGCCCGTGGTAGTTCCCTGTGGTCGGGACACCACCTCTTCCAGGGTCATCCGGATGTTTTGTTGCTTCTTCCGGGAAGTCGGAGTGCCTCTCCGCCTCCGAACCGACGGTGGGCCCCCGTTCAATAGCCACGAGTTCAAGAGCTTCGCCGAACGCTGGGGCGTCCACCACATCGTCACCTCCCCTCATTACCCGCAGGCGAATGGCCACGCCGAGGCAGCGGTAAAGTCCGTAAAATACCTCATCCTCAAGACAGCACCGACGGGGAACCTGGACTGCGAGGAGTTCGACAGGGGCCTACTGGAACTCCGTAACACCCCTACCCCTGCCGGACGCTCTCCTGCCCAGGTGTTGTATGGCCGCCCCCTTCGTACTTGTGTGCCTGCCCACCCCCAGTCCTTCTTAGATGAATGGCAGATCAAGGCGGACGAGTGTGACCGCCGTGAGGCTGCCCGGATGGCCCAAGTGACAAGCCACTATGACGCCCAAGCCCGCCCCCTTCCCAGGTTGGCCGTCGGCCAGCAAGTACGAATCCAGGACCCGACGTCACACCGCTGGGACAAGGTCGGGGTCGTCATGGGCCGTGGCGAGTCTCGTTCGTACCAAGTCCGCCTCCCCAGTGGTCGTGTGTGGTGGCGAAACAGACGCCACCTCCGCCCAGTGCCACCCTCTAGTGACGAACCTTCCTCCCCGTCCCCTGTGTCCCCTTGCCCAGACCAGGAACGAAGGTCGTCAGTTGATCCTCCCATTGTCCCTCGCCGCTCCCCCCGACTCATGGAAAAAGAGTCCGTAGCCGCTCGAGATTGCACTACGAGCGTAAAGGGGGAGGGAGGTGTATAGATATGTACATACCAAGATGTGTGAACGCGCCTGACACCAGGACTCTTGTTACCATTCGTTGTACCATTTATTCGCATGTCTGTATTACTACATATTATTATAGCATGTCTGATGTCCATGCTTATGTCTAATGCCTATGTTCATTTACTATGTCCCGATGTACTATGTCTGTACCGCGCTAGTCGAGTAATTAGAAGACCTCATTTATTGTCCTAGGAATGTCTAGCAACTCCCCTTGCCTGGCTAGCTAATTTCCCTCAGATCGGCCTCGGCCTACCTACGGTCCGGGGTCCCTAGTAATCGCTCCTGTATCGGTTGGCTATCACGCCCAGCCTTGTACACTTATTGAATATATCTACTGCTCGTGCCCTGGAGTTTCAAGAACCTTGTCTAGGATTACATCCACCACACCACAATAATGAGTGTATCAGAGGAGAAAGACATGGAAGGAAAAGGAATGTCTTTAACGTGATGTGTGAAGAATGAAGATGTTCATGACGCAGTACTCACTTCTCTAGTCCAGTGGTGTTGGCTAGTGTGGTAAAGGGTAGCAGACCATCACTCAGGGTAGAAGTGGGCAGGTGAGAATCTCCCACTGTCGTGATGTTGAGGATGGCGTTGACGGAGGCGTTGAACAAGGCTTCCGGACACCCGCTTGTGGACAGGGGCAGACGAGGTGGGGATCCTCCCCCACGGATGAACTTACCCACCACTATCCACAAGCCATACGTCATGGACACGGTGAAACCCACAATGCCCCCCTGTAGTGATATGTACTGCACGTTAACATTTGCATTTGTCTTCGAGGTGATAATATTTCTACAATCTTGATTATTTTTACTATTGTTATTATTATTATTATTATTATTATTATTATTATTATTATTATTATTATTATTATTATTATTATTATTATTATTATTATTATTATTATTATCATTATTATTATCATTATCATTATCATTATCATTATTATTATTATTATTATTATCATTATCATTATTATTATTATTTTATTACTTATTACTTATTGCCAGACCTGCCTTTAACTTAAGAATACACATAGACACATACCATATAATCTTTGATTACTATAGTGACTGTTCATATATGACCCATTTTTAATAGATCCTAGCCTAACCTAACCTAGCCTAGCCTAACCTAATCTTTCATAGCCTAACCTAACTTCACTCATTATGAACCCGTGTTTATTATGGACTCCTATCCTGATGGGACCTAATAAGAACAATTAGGTTAAGTGTGATTGCGTCAGGCTAGCTTAGATTAGGGTAAGGTCGTCTAGATTAGAATACTTACATTTGGTTTAGTTTAGGTTTGGCTAGATTGTGTTAATTTTAGCTAGATTAAGATAAACTTGGCTAGAATAGGTTGAATTTGACTCTTAAGACTGGGAGGAAGTGGGAATGGGAGGCTGTTTGAATCCCAGAAGCACATCTCATCACATACCTTAGCGGTGACCCAGGGAAGACACATGCCAGTCACGTAAAGTCCAGCCAGTGGTCCAATGACAGATGAAGTGATGCTGAAGATAACGTGAAACACATTTCCTAAACTGCCCACCAGCAAGCCTAAGATCACCGCCAGTACCCCGGTGAAGGATGCTAGAATAAATACACTAATTAAAGGGTTATGTTACGTTATGTTAGGTTAGGTTATGAGAATATCCAGTTATCAATAGAACAAATGAGAAAAATTGATAATTTTTTCTTAGGAATGAATAAACGGTTGAGAAAGGAGAGGACGGACACACACACACACACACACACACACACACACACACACACACACACACACACACACACACACACACACAAGCCAATAGAAGCCAGCCGCAGATCAACAAGAGCCAGCTACAGGGCAACATAAGTCAGCCAGAGGTCAGCAGAAGTCAGCCACAGGTCAACAAAAGTCAGCCATAGGTCAACAAAAGTAAATCACAGGTCAAAAGAATTCAGCCACAGGTCAACAAAAGTCAGCCACAGGTCAACAGAAGTAAGTCACAGGTCAACAAAAGTCAGTCACAGGTCAACAGAAGTCAGCCTCAGGTCAACAGAAGTCAGCCTCAGGTCAACAGAAGTCAACCTCAGCTCAACAAAAGTCAGTCACAGGTCAACAGAAGTCAGCCTCAGGTCAACAGAAGTCAGCCTCAGGTCAACAGAAGTCAGCCTCAGGTCAACAGAGTTCAGTAGCAGATCAACGAAAATCAGTCAGAGGTCAACAGAAGTCAGTCTCAGCTCAACAGAAGTCAGCCTCAGGTCAACAGAAGTCAGCCTCAGCTCAACAAAAGTCAGTCACAGGTCAACAAAAGTCAGCCTCAGGTCAACAGAAGTCAGCCTCAGGTCAACAGAAGTCAGCCTCAGGTCAACAGAGTTCAGTAGCACATCAACGAAAATCAGTCACAGGTCAACAGAAGTCAGACTCAGCTCAACAGAAGTCAGCCTCAGATCAACAAAAGTCAGTCACAGGTCAACAGAAGTCAGTCTCAGGTCAACAGAAGTCAGCCTCAGATCAACAAAAGTCAACCACCGGTCAACAGAAGTCGGTAGCAGGACAACAGAAGTCAACGGCAGATGAACAGAAGTCAGCCACAGATCAACAGAAGTCAGCCACAGGTCAACAGAATTCAGCCATGCACGGGTCAACAGAGGTTAGCCACAGGTCAACGGAAGTCCGCCACACACAAGACAACAGAAGTTTGCCTCAGGTTAGCAGAAGTCAGCTATGCACAGGTCAACAGATTTTTGCCACAGGTCAACAGAAGTCAGACATGCACAGGTGAACAGAAGTCAGCCATGCACAGGTCAACAGAAGTCAGCCACAGGTCAACAGAAGTCAGCCATGCACGGGTCAAAAAAAGTTAGCCATGAATAGGTCAACAGAAGTCAGGCCCAGGTCAAAAGAAGTCAGCCATGCACAGGTCAACAGAAGTCAGCCACAGGTCATCAGAAGTCAGCCACAGGTCAAAATAAGTCAGCCACAGGTCAACAGAAGTCAGCCATGCACAGGTCTATGAATCTCAGCCACAGGTTAACGGAAGTCAGACAAGCACAGGTCAACAGAAGTCAGACAAGAACAGGTCAACAGAAGTCAGACATGAAAGTTACTAGTGTGCCCTGAAGAATGCAGTGATGGCTAGGGAAACACTGAGTAACACTGAGTCCGTTTATTATGGATGAGAGAAATACAAGTGGTGACTCGCGTGTGCCATGCACGGCTCACAGTCAGACTAAGGCTGCCTTGCCATATGGCAGCCTCGGGGCAATGTTGCCACATAACGTGCAGTGTTGCCACGTGATGATATATATAAATGCTACTCGGCACAGTAGCTTATATACAGGGTTGCTAGTCGGCACAGTAGCTTATATACATAACCTACATCTCCCTCCCCCCTCACGCTCATAGTCTTTGTCTTGAGCGGACTTCTTAGTCCTAAGTCGCTCCGAGCGTCGAGGTGCACTGTGGGGCGGATCCTCGTGAGGTGTAGGTGACTCGTCCTCGGTCAGGGGGCCAGCAGCAGGGGGTGGGACTGGCCGGAGGAAGCGGCGGTTCCTCCACCAGACACGGCCGCTCGGCATCCTGACCTTGTAGTCCCGCGACCGGCCGACGCCCATCACTATGCCCACCTTGTCCCAACGTGTCGTCGTCGGGTCCTGGACGCGGGCAAGGGCACCAATCTCCAGTGGCTGAAGAGGGCGGGCACCGTCGTCATACCGAGCCTTGGCGTCCTGGGCACGTGAAGCGGCGTGGCGGTCGCAGCTCTCGGCTCTGGTCTGCCACTCCTTCGCAAAGGCCTTGGCGTGTGCAGGAACGCAAGAGCGGAGAGGGTGACCATACAGGATCTGGGCAGGGGAGCGTCCTGTGTGGGTGGGAGTATTACGTAACACCAGGAGTCCTTTGTCAAACGCCTCACAGTCTATGTTGCCTGAAGGGGCCACCTTGAGGATGAGGTGCTTGACTGTCTTGACCACAGCCTCAGCATGGCCGTTTGACTGTGGGTAGTGGGGTGTTGACACGATGTGGCGGACTCCCCAACGCTCCAGGAATCCTGTGAAGTCCCGGCTGGTGAACTGTGGCCCACCGTCCGTCCGCAGACGTACGGGGACGCCCAGGTCACGAAAGAGGTGCCGGAAGTGGCGAATGGTGGCCGCGGACGTCGTGTCCGAGCCACAGATTACCACCACAGGCCAGCCAGAGAGTCGGTCGGCGACAACTAGGAAATGTTTCCCAGCTGTGCTGAAGAAATCAGCCGACACGGACTCGAAGGGCCTGGTGGGTTCGTCGTCGCACAAGAGGGGCTCTTGCTGTTGACTGGGCTGCATGATCTGGCACGGCTCACAGGCACGGACCGTATTGACGATATCCTCGTCAATGCCGGGCCAGTACACAGCCTGCCTTGCGCGGCGCTTGGTGGCCTCTGCTCCACGATGGCTGTCGTGTAAGCGGGTCAGAACGCGACGACGGAGAGCTGCAGGGACGACCACACGGGCACCGTACAGGACGAGGTCCTCATCTGCGTAGAGGTCCTCGCGTATCTTCCAATACAGGCGTAGGGCGTTGTGGAGGTCAAAACGGTCGCGAGAGAACCCAGTCCTCACACTCTCCAAGAGCTGAGTGTAGGAGGAGGAGTCGCGTGCCGCGGTCCGTAGTTCCTCAAGGGCCAGATCGCTGTCGGGTGGCGACACTGAGGCCTGGGTGCTGGCGAGGGACTGTACGGCCTGCAAGGTGACGATGTTGCTGACGGAGAAACCGGCCTCGGTGCTGAGCATCTCGTCTTCAGGTGTAGGGCGGCTGACTGGGGAGCGGGAGAGGGCATCCGGGATGCACAACTCCTTACCTGCGCGCCAAGCCGCGGTGAAGACGAAGGCCAAAATCTTCTCCTTCAGGCGCTGGAGGCGGGGATTCTCGATGGCGTCCAGCGAATAGTGGTTAAGAATGGGGACCAAGGGCCTGTGGTCTGTGATGAGGTCGAAGTGCTGTAGGCCAATCAAGTAGAACTTGCACTTCGATAAGGCCCATACCACTGCCAGCAGCTCCAGCTCGATGGTAGCGTAGCGAGACTCAGCATCGGTGAGGAAGCGAGAGCCACACTGTACGAGCCGGTACTTTCCTCCACCGTGATCCTGGAGAAGGGCGTAACCAACCCCGTACAGGCGCGAGGCGTCTGTCTGGAGGACGGTGGGGAGCGCTGGGTCGAAAGTAGCGAGGATAGGTGGACTTGACAGGGCCTCCTTCACCTTATGAAAGGCGAGGTCGTGGTCAGGGGTCCACGTGAACGTCCTCTTGGGGCTCATCAGGGGGCGGAGAGGCCCGGCAGCGGCGGAGACGTCAGGGGAAAATTCTGCCAGCTGGTTCACCAGGCCCATGAAAGACCTGAGATCCGTAAGGTTGGCAGGTTTCGCAAAGTCCGCTATGGCGCGAACTTTCTCCGGGTCCGCAGCAATGCCATCCCTTGAGAGTCGGTAGCCGCAGAAAGACACTGCAGGTGCGGCCAAGACGAACTTCTCGGCATTCAGAGTGATGCCGTGCGTCCTACACCTGGTCAGTACCTCGTCGATGCGGCGAAGATGCGTCAGGTAGATCATCGTCAGGGGAGTCCTCATCGTAAAGGAGGACGTCGTCCACTACCTTCACGCAGTTGGTCACGCCTTGAAGTGCCATGTCACCACGGAAACAGAAGGCGTCCCCCGTAGCAGCGAATCCCATAGGGCCACGGCAGTAGCGGAAGCGTCCGTAAGGCGTGATGAAAGTGGTCAGTGGCTGATCCTCCTTCTTCAGTGGGATCTGCCAGTAACCACAGAGGGCGTCCATCGTCGAGAAGTGCCGTACCTTCGGATCCACACTCCGTATAGCTGCAAAAGGTGTGGGTGGAGGGTGGGCGGGACGGGACACCTGGCTGTTAAGCTTAGACAAGTCGGTAGTAACCCGCAATCCACCGTTAGTCTTAGCCACAGCGACTAGAGGGTGGCACCAAGGGGATGGGTCGTCACCAACGGGTAAGATGACACCCTGGGCCACCATGGAATCCAGTTCCTTCTTGACTGAATCCCTGAAGGCGAGAGGAATCAACCGGGGAGTGTGTATGGCAAACGACTGTGCATCTTCCCGCAGGTGTATCCTCATAGGCGGACCCGCCATAGCCTTCAGTGGCGCGGTCCGTAGGGCCTCCTTCGTCACCAGCACATCTGAGTACTCCTTCAGGAAGTAGGCCCTTGCGGCTGAAGGAGACGTCTCGCTGTGAAGAGGAAGCAGCCGTGACTTGGGTGGAGGCGGGGAGGGAGTGGACGCGGGTTCTGGGCAGCTCTGTGTGGCAGCGCCAGGCGCGTCGCTCGTCGACTCACGCACCCTGCTGGTGGTGTAACGAGCAGCTGGGATCTGCTCGGGAAAGTCTCTGGGCACCACGCCTAACTCCTTGCAGTGCTCCCACGACAACAAGGGTGTAGCGAGAGTAGGCTGCACGTCGATCCATCCGTGATACGACCTGTCGCCGTAGGTGATCTCTGCTTGAAAGGAGCCCACAGCGTCCGGCATCTGGGAACCGTCCGCATTGTAGTACTGCAGCTGCGGCGGTGGTCCCAGGCCGCGTTTGGTGAGGTCCAGTTTC